GTCCTCGTCCTCGTCCTCGTCCTCCTCCTCCTTCTCCTCCACCTCCTCCTATTCCTCCTCCTTCCTGAGTGCCCTTAGGGCGGGCATGTCCTCCGACATGCGGATTTAGGAAAAAATTGAAGTGGCCCCAAACATTTGCAAAATTGTAAAAAAAGAAGAAACATCGTCCCAAGACGATTGTTTCAACTATGTTGAAGACTCCGACTGTAGAGGGGCATGCCCGACTTGAAATTACTCCTCCATGTCCGAAGTAATTCCTCCTCCTATTCCTCGAGGAGAGGGAAGGGATCGTAGGAAGGGGCAGGCTGGGGATGGCGAGGACGATAACGAGCTACTCCTCTGCCCACCCCTGCCTCCGCCTTCCCGCTTGTTCCCCATCGCACCTTTCCCCGACCTCCCTGGCTCCTCCTCCTCCTCCTCCTCCTCCTCCTCCTCCTGCTCCTACCCGTATTCGAATCTACTCCTACTAGTCCCCCTCCCCGGCCGATAGCTGCCCCATCCGGGACGTCCCATCTGAACCTGCAAAAAACAACTCAACATCAACATGTTTCGTCATGTGTCCTCTCAACATGGACGTCCTGTCGTCCACGTCGACAACCCCTTGCAACACATACAACAAAGTATACACGCGCGCGTCCATGTCAAAACCCTACAGAAACACACTGTGTGCAAACATTTCAACCTAAAAGCGCTCATGTTTGAACAAACTTGTTTTTTCATTACAAATCTTCAGGATTCCAGCCCGCGCGCAATTGCTGAAATCATAGGACAACCATACGATGTCCATGATTTCGTGAAAAAGGCCAGCGATCTCATCACGCCGCCCGGTGCACTCGCAATGCTCTGTCATGCATCCAGGGCGCGGGTCCTGTGCAAGAAATACCACGCGGGCGACATGCCCGCACGTCGCCGCGAGCGCATGTCCAAAATCCTTCCAGAGTCGTCGCCATCATCGGCACCGTCGCTGGCCTTGCCGTCGTTGTCGCCATCATCGCGGGTCACCGCCCTCCTCATCATGTTGCCACCGTGGTCGACGTCATCATGCCATCGCGCCCGCCCGAATCACCGACCTGCACCGAAGTGCCCGCGCGCTGGCGCGGCCTTTGAGACGCGTTGGGCCAGTTCCCACCGGCCACCGCAATCGTGGCCGCAAGAATTCTGCCATACCAGCTGGCTGATCTGCGCGTGCGATGCGGTTTGCCAGCCAAATTTCCTGGGGTTCCCTGGGGCTTCCTGGACCTCCTGGGGCTTCCCGGAGGGGCTCCTGGCGTCTCCTGGGGCTTCCTGGAGCTTCCTGGGGAAGGACTCGCTGGGGCCTTCAGGGGACTCCTGGGGCCTCCTGGGGCTCACTGGGGTGTCCTGAAACATCCTGGGGCCCTCTTGAAGCTTCATGGTCCTCTTGGGGCATCCTCGACTCGTGCTGAAATGCCTGCGCAGTCTTTGGGACGAGCTGGGGAGCTCCCATCGGTAACCGCTGTCGCAGCCGCATCAGCTGTGCCAAACCAGCTCGCCGATGTGATCTCGGCTCCCCGTTGTGCCACCACTGTTTCTTATGTTGTGGTAGGGCAGTTGGGGCTGGGCATGCCTTGCATGTCTCGCTCGAGCTGACCAACTCGACTCCTACTCCTACTCCTGCTCCTGCTCCTGCTCCTGCTCCTGCCCCTGCCACTGTTCCTGTTCCTGCTACTGTTCCTGCTCCTCCTGCTCCTCCTGCTCGTCCTCCTCCTCCTCCTCCTCCTCCTCATCCTCCTCCTCCTCCTTCCTAATTACTCTTAGGTCGGTCATGTCCTCCCACACGCAATTTTGGCAGAACATAGTAAATGTTAAAACTACGCAAACATGGTCAACCATGACAGGAGCATCGTCCCCAGACTATGTTTGAACCTATGTTTGACTTGTCCCCATGTAGATGGACATCCCCGACGTGAAATTACTCCTCCCCCTCCGAAGTAATTCCTCCTCCTCCTCCTCCTCCTCCTCTTCCTGTTTCTCCTCGATGAGAGGGAAGTGGTCGGAGGAAGGGGTAGGCAGGGGATGGGGAGAACGATGATGAGCTACTCCTCTGCCGACCCCTGCCCTCGCCTTCCCCCCTGTTCCCCATTTCACCTTCCCCCCGCACTCTCCGCCCTCCCTAGCTCCTCCTCTTCCTCCTCCTCCTCCTCCACCTCCTCCCCAGCTCCTCCTCCCCAGTTCCTCCTCTTCCTCCTGCCTCCCCTCCTCCTCCTCCTCCTCCTCCTCCTCATCATCATCATCCTCCTCCTCATCCTCCTCATCCTCCTCCTCCTCCTCCTCCTCCACCACCACCCACCACCACCACCACCACCATCATCATCCATCATCATCATCATCATCATCATCATCATCATCATCATCATCATCAACATCATCATCATCCGTCATCATCATCATCATCATCATCATCATCAGCATCACCATCATCATCATCATCATCATCATCATCATCATCTCATCATCATCTCATCATCATCATCATCATCATCATCATCATCATCATCATCATCATCATCATCATCATCATCGACATCATCATCATCATCAGCATCATCATCATCATCACCACCATCATCATCATCATCATCATTATCAGCAGCAGCAGCAGCAGCATCATCATCATCATCATCATCATCATCATCATCATCCTTCTCCTTCTCCTTCTCCTCCTCCTCCTCCTCCTCCTCCTCCTCCTCCTCCTACCCACTTCCTCCTCCTCCTCCTCCTCCTCCTCCTCCTCCTCCCCAGTTCCTCCTCCTCCTCCTCCTCCTTCTCCTCCTCCCCCTCCTCCTCCTCCTCCGCTCCCCCCTTCGGAGGAGCCGGGAGAGGGGGGGGGAGCAGGGAAGGGAACAGGAGGGGAACGGGGGGGGGTAAGCGGGGAGGGCGGGGAAGGCGGTGGCGAGAGACGGGGGAGGGCGGGGAGACGGGGGAGGCGGACAGGCTCAGCGAGATATAGGCTTGGGTGCACCACCACCATTCGTGGCCAGGTCCATTCAGGATGGTGTACCGACCCTCCTAGCCTCGACCAGAACAGCGCATGCACCATGCCAGGGCTAAGGAGGGCCCTGGCCAGGCTGTCTCCTGCGCAAGGGCAACAGGAACGGCAGGGGGAGGGGGGTGGAGAAGGCGGGGAAGGCGGGGAGGGGGGCGGCAGCAAAAGGAGGAGGAGGAGGAGGAGGAGGAGGAGGAGGAGGAGGATGGGGAGGAGGAGGAACTGGGGAGGAGGAATTACGTCGGAAGGCGAGGAGCAACTTTAAGTCGGAATGCTCAAGCATAGCTTAAACATAGTCT